TGAGGTAACCAGAATTCGTTAACCGCGCCGACAGTCGTCTGGCCCTGCGACAAAACGGTAAGATCTTCCTAAAAAAGACGACTCGTAGACGTATATTAGCCGTCGTCACGGGAGAGAGATAACAGCGTGAAATTTGCAATCTTAATGAAATCGCACGGTAAAAAAGAAGTCTGGATTAACCAAATTTCTGGTGAAATACACGGAGGAAAGATACATCTGGGAATTTATCTATGGGATTAAAGTTTATTTGTATGTAAAACATATACTAGTAAATTCTCAAGTATTTGTTCTCAATGTAAACGAACCAGAAAGTTAACTTTTAAGTTAGCAGAATTCCATTCAATTAAAAGAGGGCTATCGTACCTTTATGCTAACAAGATTTTGGATTTAAACCGAATTCTGATAATTTCAACCGGAATTTTTTATCTGTTCAAATTTCATCAGAAATTTGGTTAACCTAACCGAACATTTTTTCCGTGTATTATTCTTTTAAGAGACAAAGCTGTAGACTTGGAGATGCTTGGAGACAATCAATATCACCACTGATAAGTAAACCTACGCAAAAGTTACACCCCGTTTTTTTTTCTAATTTGGCACAAATGTAGAAGTACAAAAAATATTTAGATCATATTTCTTCATTTTGGCCTATTTTGAGTTTCACGGGCAATTTTTTAATGTTCTCACTATCATCAGCAAATACAACAAAAATGCATGAGAAATAAAATTGAATACAAAATATAGGCGTTTTTGGTTTGCTGATTATGAATATGAAGTCAAGTATGTAAAATGATTTGTATAAATAATAAAATGTTTAAACGAAACATGTAAAAAGTTGAAAAAAAATTATTTATACAAATAATTTCTCGGTTTGGTCGAAATTCGGACCATTTTTGACTAATTTAAACATTTTATTATTTATACAAATAATTTCTCGGTTTGGTCGAAATTCGGACCATTTTTGACTAATTTAAACATTTTATTATTTATACAAATAATTTCTCGGTTTGGTCGAAATTCGGACCATTTTTGACTAATTTAAACATTTTATTATTTATACAAATAATTTCTCGGTTTGGTCGAAATTCGGACCATTTTTGACTAATTTAAACATTTTATTATTTATACAAATAATTTCTCGGTTTGGTCGAAATTCGGACCATTTTTGACTAATTTAAACATTTTATTATTTATACAAATAATTTTACACATTTGACTTCATATTTATAATCAGCAAACCAAAAAACGTCTATATCTTGTATTCAATTTTATTTCTTATGCATTTTTGTTGTATTTATTGATGAGGAGTGAGAACATTAAAAAACTATAAACTACCCGTAAAACTCAAAGTAGAACCCAAAATGAAAAAAGAAACCTAAATATTTTTTGTACTTTTACATTTGTGCCAAATTAGAAAGAAATCGGAGTGTATCTTTTGAGAGTAGGTTTATTTGTGAGAGAAAGAATAGTTGATTTATAACTAAAATTACTTATTTTTGGCCCAAATCACATATCTTTTAATCTTAAGAATAATGTAAAAAATTAATCTTATAATGTAAATAGTAATTTGCATATAAAATTATTATCACCAACATTGTAGTAAAATTTAATAAAAAAAATGTAAATTTCCTTGATAATAATTTATATTAATTATTGTTCTATGTAATTATAATTACAAGTACCAAACATTTTTCTCTCGGTGCAGTTAATTTAGATAAATAACGCGCACGTTGTGACAGCGTTAATTGAATCTGCATTTCTCTTTTCTGTACAATTTTCCACGTTTGTAATCGGCGGAGGGATCCCACGACTGGTGATCTTTCGGCGGCGCTCTGAAATATTCAAAATCCGCTGCAATATTTACAGCCGGATCACCGTTTGTCGCGCGTTAAACGACGAGGTCGATTTTGCACGCGTCGCTGTTAATCCCGGCCCTCGCGCCGCGCGGCATAAGTTTTTCATCGCCTCGTATTATCAGCGCAGCGCGATTTACGAGGGACTGAAAGGGGAAGAGGACGACGCACCGGTACAACTGATTACGCGCGGCCACCGTAAATCAGCCGGGTTATTATTTTACGATGAGCGCAATTTTGTTGCGATTATTGGTTGTAAATCGCGGCCGGCGACGCGCGCGAACCCCGAGAGACGGAATGTTAATGCATTTGCATAATTATGATAACTCGCGCGCACCTCGACCGCTACACGACGCTTTTTTATTATTCGCTATTTGCGTTTCGCCGTGATTTACGCGCGAAAAACGCGCACGAATGGTCTCTCTCTCTTTCTCCCTTTTATCCATTCGGTGAGGAGACGTCACTCTCACGGTGTATCCGTGTATAACACCTGTTACCGTCAAACTATAATAATAAATCAATTTTATTTATTACCCTTGCCTCTTTCCCCCTGCAATCTTCCGGATGTTATTACTTTATAATTTTATCAACGTTATTAATATCAGTCTATCGAATCTGCTCGAAGCGTGACGCCTTTTGCGATTTTCAATAAGGCTCGCTCGAAAAAAGAGGTCGACGATTCTTATTTATCAGAAAGAAAAAAATAGAAAAAAATAACTGATGCTCGGAGGGGGATAAGCAAGCCGTCGTTTATCTGTGCACAACTATGCAAAGTATTCGGCTAAACGCGCATTTGCACGACTATTTACTAGCTCTTCTCTGCCCGCCGCCTCGTCTCTCTCATCAGCAAGTTCTCGAGGGAGATTCAAGCTTTCTCTAAGGTATGCCTGGACGGCGATCTATTCGTCGAGGCGCGCCTGATTGATTTCATAAATCCTCCGGAATGACCCCTCAGGACCTCACCCCTCGGCCAGCTATCCTGTCGTACGTAAGGCAGTCGTGAAGGGACCGTTTAATATCCCATGTACGCCTCCCTTATGCAAGATTAAGCCGCATGAAATTAGGATAAGGCCAGAATGCATTCATCCCGGCGCTAAGTCGCTCCCCTTTTATCGCTTACATTACGCAACACACTTACCCACGATGTTCGCGCGGAACGAGCTTTTAATTGTGAGATAAAGATAAAGAGATGCTTTCTAGCTCGCACGCGTGCACGTCACCGTGTGTTACACCTGGAGCACCGTTTGACGTTACTCTCGAGAGCCAGATGCGCGTCTCGTGTCGGGCGTAAAAGCGGCGCGACGGGAAGTTATCGCGACACCCCGTGTACCGGACGTTTTACGCTCTTCTCGATATTTTATTGCCGCGCGCGTGCGTACGTTCGTATGTATATGTGTGTGTGTGATACATAAGCCTTCCGTTTAAATAAGGCGGCGTGTGAGACACGTTACTAAACACAGAACCGCGACAATACGATCTGACGATTTGATGGCACACGCTCCTGAAGAGTGTCTTGAGAGAGTCTTTAAAAAATTTCCGTAATTAATCGTGACCGAAACTCTCGGCGAATCGTAATTTGATCGACAACCGCCGGAGCGTACTACAGGATCTTCTTAGCGTGCGCGCCTCGCTATGAATGCTCGTGGGAACGAATTGCTTTTATCCCGCGTGAGATCTTTCGTTTATCGAGCTGCAGCTCAGGCTCCTTTACAGGCGCCGTGTAAATCCGCGCTTTATCTTAATTTCAGGTAGCGGATCGTCACGCCCGTTTGACTATCTCCATCATTTTCCGGGTCGCCTATCTGCGTTGTTTCTTAATAGAACGAGCGTATCTCGTTGAGAAGGCGCGCCACGACATAACGAGATGCGCTGGCGACGGTAAACTCGAACGCGCCACGCACTAATATGGACGCGAGCAGATCTGACAGTCAGCTTGATTATAGCACTCTCTTTCGGTCGGCTACGCCTCGGTAAAATTTCCACCGACAATCCGTCACCCCGTTGAGTCACTTTACGAGACGACTGAAGGTGTCACTGAGACACCGTGTGCTCCACTTGATCGTTTTGTTAGAAACTGAGCTAAGTGCGCAGACATTAGCAATGCTTGATATTGAGCAATAGTGAATTTTCGCGAAATTCCGAAAATATATAAATACTTCACGAATAATATAGATTTCGTCGAAGTTGCGTGTAATTTCAACGACGAAAGTTTGGAGTTTATGCTTCAGCAAACATCGAGTTTGGAATTTATACGTTAAGATTTCGGAGAGAATTTTGTAATAAAAGTTACTGCAGAATTTCGTGGCAGCAATAAATCGACATTCTGCAATAATTCATTGTTTTTTAATTTCAATGTCTATTTATATTTTAGAAACACTTAAATGTGTTATTGCCAAATTTGCTGTTTCTAGCGAAATTGAATGTTCTTCAGCAAAACAGATCTTACTGATACTTTATATTCTCGCATTGCTACACTGTAAAAACTGATGTGTTAAATTTAACACATTTCATGTGTCCCAAATCATCCACTCTCATTTATGTGTAAATTTAACACAAAATAAATGTGTTAAAAAGTAATACGTATAATGTAAAAAAAATTAACACAAGAATTTAACACTTGAATATCGTTAGAAATATTTAATATGTCAGATATAGATTATGTCAATTTAATATTTTTATTTTATCAAAACCGTAGATTAATATTTCTCTCAAATGTTAAAGTAACGTTTTATTTTAGTTAATTTAACATTATACATGTGTCAATTTAATACAAACTGTGATTCCTGACGGTATTCAAGTGTTAAATTCTTGTGCTAATCTTTTACATATTATACGTGTTACTTTTTACCACATTTGTTTTGTGTTAAATTCACACATAAATGAGAGTGGATGATTTGGGACACATAAACTGTTAAATTTAACACATCGGTTTTTACAGTAGAAACATAATAAAATTGAAGAGAATTTACGTGCAAAAAGCTATAATATATTCTTTCCGTGTAGAGAAGATATATGAACAGACTGAATGAGATACCAATATAAAATTGAAAAAGATAAAGTTGAAAAATTTAATCGTCTAAGAGCGGCTGTTTCTAATCCGAACAATCTCTGCTATTTCCCCTACTAAGCGATCGGTTTGTTGCTTTATAGCGTGCGACTGTCACCCGATCGGAGCTTCTGGAAAGACCTGTAACCAGAGCACCGGCCAGTGTCCCTGCAAAGACGGTGTAACCGGTACTACTTGCAACAGATGCGCCAGAGGCTACCAGCAGAGCAGATCGCATATTGCGCCTTGCATCAGTAAGTACACGCCCACGCGCGTTCGCGCTGCTTGATACTCGGTTTCATTGCCGCGTTTATCTTTTATTTCGATTTCGTTTCCGCCGCCGCCGCCGTGTTCGTCACATCCCCTTCTCTCCTGTCTTACGAGCCGAGCCGTGAGCTCGCTCTACGCGAGTTGTGGCGAGAGAACGCCGGCTACAACGAGCAGGAAAGTGGGTGCTCGCGTAAAAGAAAGATAGTACGGCACTCTGTGTGACCGCGCGGAACATGGGAGAAATTCTGCGGAGCCGGGATAGCAGTGCGATAAATTCGAAGGAATTTTGAGAAACTGCTCGGTGAGAAAATGGGAAAGCGTAAGAGAGCCGAATCTCTCTCCCCCTGCGCGGTTACAGTTCCGTCGCGATATTCTCGCACTTACGCGGCTCTGCAGAAGCAATGGCCCGAATTGATTCCAGACCGTGCGAAACTCACTGCGAACTCGCAGAGTTGTTAAAAGGAAACAATCTTTTTAACTCTTCTCCATATTGAATTAATATTATTATTAATGATTATAAATTATCGATTATTTATCCCGAAATTCTACAGTATTAGTGACCCATACGAGAAAACGGGAATAACGTTCTCTCATTCGCACATCGTGAATCGCGCGACTACCGCTCGGAAACGAACGGAGAAGATATTGCGGATATTTTTTGGCCGTCCATTCGACATATTCTGTCATTAACGCGTACACGACGCGACACGACGCAACGAAAGCGTAAAGCTGCTCGGCCGAAAAAGAGTGCAAAAAGTCTGTCGCCTCCTCGATTTCGCGATCGATCCTCTCAGCCCGCCACCAGGGTGGCGAGAAGGTCGGCCAAAAAAGGCGGCCGAGCCGCTCGACCACACCCGTGCTGCCCTGGAGAATGATCGATCGATCGATCGGCAGGAACACGCGACGATCTTAGCGCGCGATCTCCTCGCGCTTGTCCAATTAGGCGAAATTTGCGAAAACGTGCGTGCAAGCCCACCCTCCGCTTCCGTTCGCCGCGGGCGGCTTTTTGCTTTCGATTCGACTTTCGATCGACGACACGAATGTTTTCGTATCGCGGACTCTATGTACGTGTGTACGTACATGTGTGTGCACGCAGAAAAAGGATTAGCCGCACGAACTAAAATACCACTATGGCATTTTAAAGATGAGTGCATTTGCAAGATGCATTATTGAAATAGAGACAACTAATATCGTTGCTACCGAAGCTAATTTATTATCTACTTGACTTGAACTTTGACGTTGTGACAAAAAACATCTACTACTAAACAGAGAGTTCGCATTGTAATCATTTCGCTTTTTTTTAAATTGCACTTTATACTCGTCAAAAACATAAGATTGACGCTTCGTAGCGCAAATACAAGCCAAGGTTTCCTACTGGCTTTTAACAGAGATTAATAAGTAACGTTCGGTTTAACACAAAAGCTGATGTCTTTCGTACTCACATAATTACGCCATATGATCCTTATCTCACAGAAGGATGATTTCACGTTCCTCGGAAGCGCGACAATTTCCACTTTCGAGTGATCTTTGTTTCAAGCCGCTACGACGTCTGCAAGTAGAGTTATTGACGAATGTATCGATCCGCGCTCTAAATTATTTGGCGTTATCGCCACAGCGAGCTTGGAATAGGCATGACGCGGCGCGTGAATGGAATGCGGAACATGATTATTGTTATCGGAAAAGTCACCTTACGTAATAAGTGAAAGTATGCCTCGGCTAGTTACTTCCCCTCCACGGCTCAACTCGCTACCCCCACTCCGCGGCTCAGATAAGCAACCCGCATTTTGCAGCCCTCGGTTATTCACCTTACTTTGAAAGCATAGTACGCTGGCGCGAAAGCGTCGCACGACTGCCAATTTCGAGAGTAAACCTGACGTCGATGTCGTCATTATAACACGCGAATCAATACACATATCGGCGTGAAGTAAAAAAAAATATCTTTAGCATACGTTCCCGCATGAGACTATATATCGCTCTTTTATTGCCTATTTGAAGAAGTCGAGTGTCTTAATCGATTAAAGCACTGCGAACGCGACGACATGAGCCACCTTTTTCATTCGCGATCGAATTGTTCAGATTCTTCTTTTGCCTCGTCCATTGTAACAGTGACGAAATTAATATAGTTACCGTGAGTCAAAGTAAAGAGATAATTACCGCAATTGTTTGCAAAAATGATGGAAGATGTTGTATAGGGTATCTGGATTTAGATGTTTGTGTGTAAGCAGAACTTGTTAAGTTAAATAGACAAAAGTCCTGTACCATTTCGTATAGACTCTGCCACGATAATTGTTGGAATGTTAATGACAGAAAATTAGTCAAGCAATGCACGCGATGCGGTGGAACGAGCTCTTACAGAATACTCGAGGTTTAGCGCTTAAGAAATTTAGAAATAGCTGTAATTTTTTAGCTATATTTAAACAAATGCGCGCTCCTAATTAATAAATTTACATCTTTTTGCGCAGAGAAGGAGTAAATGCATTTCATCTGTGATAGCCAATTCTTAGCAGTGACAGCACAAAACGATTAGCCCTTTAGCTAAGCTCGAATCGGTCACTAAGATTTAGCTGATATTACCAAGTCATTTCGTTGCGTGTGTAATTCTCGCGAATATTCTGCTGATAAGTTCCGCCGATTCTTTCGTGAGCAACCTCATTGTTTGACGGAATTGAAATCTCGCGAGCGCGCGAGCAGACGCTCTCTGCAATCCCTCCGCGCACAAGACAGATGCATCTTGTGCATCTCCGCACAAGACAGAAACAATTATCGATCGGAGCGCGGCGCTCCTAGCGCGAACACCCGCGGGGTTAACTCGGCCTTCTTCCATCTCTCGCGCTCGTACCCTTCATTTATCTCGTATTCTTGCAGAGATACCCAGGGTCGTGCAGACGCAGGGCACGGCCGGCGAAGAGAGCGGCGAGCACGAGGACGACGACGACGAGCGCGGATACGACGGGCGAGCCGGTAAGTAAGTGCAAAGTAAACTAGAAGGCACGCTGCAACGCGGACGAATCTCATTATCGCCGGAGGATCTTCGTTAAGTCTCCCGGCGGCCCCGACACGTCACATCGTGACGTCAGAAGCGAAAGAGGACGCGAATTCTTGTCTCGCGCGAAAAGATCCGCAAAGACAAGTCACTAAGCTCTCGATGCACGCTACGGACTGATCGCGGTTTTTGTTACACAGCCATTTCCGCAAATTTCAAAGGAGTCGGTGGAAGGAAGTCGATTCCGGATACAAGTCTCGTCGCCACGGATAGTAGAACGAAATACGGCCGCTATATTAATTTAGCAGACGAAGCAGGTGAACGAGCGAGACGGGGGCGGGAGAAGGGGGTCGGGTCGTCTAGCCGCTCGGTCGTAGCCTCTCAGGCACCCCTAATGGCTTAATTAAAACTACTCTCGCCCTCGCGGCTCGCCCGTTTACTCGGCGCCTCCAGACGCGACGCGCGATTTTCGCGATGAACTCGAGGCGAAGCCGGCCGAGCGAATCCTTTGCTCTCGGGACGTCGATACGTACCGATGTGCTCGGCTTTCGCGATGCTGTCTTGAAGTGAATCAATTTCTAATGGAAATCAGTTTCTGATTGAAAAATGTTTCCGATTGAATCAGTTACGACACCGCCTGTGTTTGCAAAGTGCATCAATAACAGGAACAGCCGCTGTTATTAACTGATCCTTTCAGTGAGATTTTACTGATTGCAGTGTCATGACTTACCCATCAGTTGTAAATATAGTACATATCGGTTAAGAATGTAAAAGTACTGATTGTACCTTCGGGAGTGCTTTTCTCAAGTATCGAAGTGGCGACGAAAGATTTGGCAAGCGCGAAATTGATAGAATTTTGCCAACGTAGAGGTACACGAGAGATGCTTTATGCACCGAGGGAGAGAGAGAGAGAGCGAGAGAGAGAGAGAGAGAGAGAGAGAGAGAGAGAGAGAGAGACGGAGACGGAGATGGGGAAGGGAAGAACGAGAGAGGCAACGTTACAAACGTTAATTCTTGCCCGAGTGACTTTTGTAGGTCTTCACTCGGCAACACGCAACATTGCTGTAGCGATCAGATAAGCCGACGAGTTTAAACTAGCAAAACCGTAAGCGCGCGAGAGGTCGAGAGCGGATCGGGCGATTTTTCCGGGCAAGAAAGCGACGCGTGAAAAGCGAGCGAGGCCGTCGCGTGGCTCCCTCGAGATCTCTCATCGCATCGAATGCATGCGTTTCTGCCTACGCGTGCTCCGCATAATACGGAGCGTAGATTACGACGCCCGGCGCTCCCTGCATCTCTCGAGTCGCTGCGAGTGAAATATCGACGCGCGAAGAGGAGTATCGCGAGCGAGTTTGCACCTGGAGCGAGGTTTCGCTCCGCGGGTGCCGCGACGCTAATTATCGGACGTCGTGCGGAGCGCGCGAGGCAGATGACGATTCCCGTTTAACCAGCCGCTTTTCTTAACGACCTCCAAGTGATAGCGCGTCTAATTGCCGCGAAAGAAGGTGACTTCGCGATGCTACTTTTCCCCGTAATTCAACGTTGAAGTTCCTCAGTTTTCTCTTTTGCGCAACGAAGAACCTTCGTTGAAGAACCTTTAGCGGTTTCGAGGTTTTCTGAAGAATTCATTAAAATAGATATGCAGTGTACAATGTACAAAGTGTCTCAAGTTTTAGTGATTAATGGAGATCACAAATTATTCGTTAAGGGAAGATTCTTATTGATAATCGAAAAAATAGAAAATTTTTGCAAATTTTTTTTCAAAGGAATGAACGCGTGTAGCAAAGAAAACCTGAACGGAATTTCAATTCTTTTTTAAGCAATCTTAATATACTTAAAACAATGACAGATAATGTGTGTGACAAAAATTCTGTATTGACATTTTTATTCATTTCTTTGAAAAAATTCGTGAAAACTTTCTATTTTCTATGTTATCTAAACCTGTCCTTAGTTTAAAAAGATGCTCGTGAGTCGCAATTCGCGTACGACGGATGTGGATTGCAAAACGGTCTCGACATAATGAAGTTGGCAGTTCACCAAACTCTGTCAAAATTCAGTGTCATTACTGACGAGCTTGTCCAGCAATTATATTATTAATTACTCTGTTAATCATTGTTAGCATTATTAATAATTTTAATTACTCAGTGTTCTTAACTTCAATATTAATTATATTATAGCGTAAGTGTTCGTCGGTAACGACTCTCAGTTTGGACAGTTTGGTGAGCTCTGCCAACTTCACCGTGTCGAAACCGTTTTGCAACCCAGCACGTGTCGTTACCTCGACGACTCGTGGCACAGTTCGCGCATTAACAACGCCACGAATGAGGCGATACACTACGTGCTCGCGTGTTGCCGATTCTGGGACATCCTGTACATACACATAGTCGCTGATCCCGCGAGCTAACTAGTTTACATACGGCAAGACGGAATTATCGCAGGCCGCGAGTTTTTCGCTATCGCGCCCGCGTCTCTTTACGAGACGCGCGGAACTCTCTCGCCGCCTACGCCGGCCGCGCATAATTCCGCGCGTGGATTACGCCGCGACGCCACCTACTCCTTGGCGTGGACCGAGTGAAATATCGGCGCGCGAAGGAGAATAGTATTCGTAATCGAATTTACACCTGGCGAGTGTCGCGCGCGAGCGCCGCTCGCTGTCGCCGTAAATTCGCCTGGCGGGAAGGGGAGAAACCGCGCGGCAAGAACGGCTTGCGTAAATTATCCGCCATAATAGGCCTCCTGGAAATATTCTCCTCTCTCTCTCTCTCTCTCTCTCTCTCTCTCTCTCTCTCTCT